CTGGATCTACATAGAACATCCCAGTGAAAAGGACTGAGTATATCAAGCGTCCATTAGGGCGAAAAGGTGCTTCCCACCTCACGTGGGCTTTCCGGGATCCCTGTGTTTTGACAAACACGTTTACTGTTCCTTCGGGAGGAGCTTCTAGAGTTCGATTTTCCACCTATGAGTATAAAAAGATTTATTTTTGTTTGCAAATAAAATAAGTACATGCTTCACTTTGAGCATATTTCTTCAAAGAATCTCTTTTTGCTGTGAAGTAAACTATTTTGACAGTAGCATCTTGTATGAATACCTCATTTTGTCAGCAGGATCAAAGCGTACCTCATGTTTTCTTCCCCCTGCTGTGAAAGCTTAGAATTTGAGCTCCTGACCAAGGCAACTGTTTGTGATTTCCAGAATATGTGGATCTGCTCATACTGTGATTGTGCTTATGGCTGTGCCTATCCATAGACCAATTCTAGGACTGCTTAAAAATAATTTTTATGTGATTGCAAAAGAGAAGAAATGCATGCAGTCTGTTTTTATAAGTCCCTGACTGAGGTGGTAGACTTCTGGCCTCTGTCAAAAAGCCACACCAAGTATCTTGACCCTCTCTCTCTCTCTCTCTCTCTCTCTCACACACACACACACACACACGTGTGCACAGGCATGCACACACACATGCAAAATTTTTATGAGCTGTTGCTATTAGTTATATAAAAATGGCAGTATGCTAACATTAAGAAACATATACACCCTAGGGACTCTATCCTTAAGGTACAATCCCCCAAAAAATGTTGACAGTGTTAACGAAGCTATACAGAAAACAGCAAAACATGAATTACTTGAAGAGAAGGACTCTGAAATAAAATGTAATCCCTAGATGTACAGGAGCCAGGGAGATTCAATAGCTAAATAAGTTAAAAAAAAAAAAAAGTGGCCAGAGTAAGATGTAGTTGGCCAGAAAGTAGAAAGGAGTTCAGAATTTTTTACTATCTTTTAATCAATAGCTTAAATTTAGTTAACTAATCGCTAAAAACTCATAAGCATCACTCATAAATATTTCATCTTTCACAATTTACTGAATGTGTTGATAATTTCAACTTTATTCTTAAGGTACAGGCTCTTGCCTCCCAAGAAGGTGATCAAACATGAAATCCTTAGATAGACAATTATCAATTATAAAACCTTTATTCGTTAGGGTGAATGCACTTTCTCAATTATGAAAAGAAATATGAAAAGGACAGTGTTAATTTTTAATAAGTATGAGATCACAACATGTTTTATTTTCATCAGAGAAAAACTATGGGATTCTTTAGAACTATAACACCTACTCCTTTGTTTTTAGTTTAATAGCTATGTACAGACATGATTAAGAAAGTAGGATAGAAAAATATCAATTCATCATTTTAATATTTTATGACAATGTAATTGGTTTTATTATGCCTATCTATAGTTCATATTACTATATATAGAATGATTTTAAGGTGTTCCAAATAAAATGAGACTTGAAAAGTTGAAGATTAAAGGCAATTCCAGATAATTACATTATAATGCTCAAATATTTGGTTAATTCAAAATAAATGTTTTGTAACATTTCCTTTAGTATTTGGATAAACACTTCAGTTTTTACTGTACATTGAATTTGGCAGTTATACTATTTCGCTCTGACCCGGTCTTTCTTTTTCATTTTACTTTTTTGCTTATCTATCTTGCTGTAAAAGGAATATTAAGGAAAAGGCACTTGGGAAAGTAAAGGTTAGCTTGGCTTTGGCCTGGAAACCCCTTTTGACACAGAAAAAATATTTGAGAGCAAATGTGCAATAACAACATACAAACACTTTAATAAACTGCTATTCTTTTTCTTTCTTTTTTTTTTTTTTTTTGAAACAGAGTCTGACTCTGTCTCCCAGGCAGGAGTACAGTGGCATGATCTTGGCTCACTGCAACCTCTGCCTCCGGGTTCAAGCAATTCTCCTGCCTCAGCCTCCCAAGTAACATGCCCAGCTAAGTTTTGTATTTTTAGTAGAAATGGAGGTTTCACCATATTGGCCAGGCTGATCTCAAACTCCTGACCTTGTGATCTGCCCACCTTTGCCTCCCAAAGTGCTGGGATTACAGGTGTGAGTCACTGCACCTGGCCATAAACTGTTATTCTTAATAAAACTTTTACCATGTACCAGACACTTGTGTAAATTATATTTTATTTAAATTTTTACACCAACCTTCTTAAAGTCAGCATTACTTATCTTAGTAATAGTTGAGAAATCTGTGGCTTTGTAGAATAAGTATATCTCCTAAGGAGGCACTGTGAATAATAGCAGGTTTAAGGCAGACTTCCTGTATAGGGTTTTCTTGCCTATTATATAGGTTGCCGTTAAGATTTAGATGTCTTAAATAACACACTTATTTGCTTCTTTGCAAAAAAAAAATGTGCAAGGGTGAATGTGTTTGTATATGTGTATTTATCCAGGTGTATTTATTTGTATAAATATGCCATCACTAAGGAACCAAGACAGCTTTTTCGCCATATCACACAGCAATGACCTACAGTTTTGCACATTATCTTTAAGAGTGCCCCTGGAGAATCGATCCAGTGAATGTTCCAAATCAAGACACAGTCATAAAATTCTCAGTCTTAGACTCCACTAGTGTTATCTCACATTGGCTAAGTGGGGAGAAAGAAAGCAAAGTGATTTTCTTATGGAAAACATTATTGTATTTTATTATAGAATATTAAAAAATGTGAAGGGTTTCTCTCTAATGCCACTGATACCAAGAAAAGCATTTAAAAATTTCTGCTGCATTGTTTTTTTTTTACATTCTTTCAAAATTTATAGAACCCCAATTTGTTGGATTTAATTTTACAATGCACATTAGCATCCAGAAGTTAGGTTCGAAGGCATTGTCAATTGTTTTTTTTATATTGGAATTTCCTTAAGTGTCAAATATATTCTTTACATGAGTAAGAACTGAACAAACCAAAGGAGAATCATTCCTTATTTTTTTCCCAGCTAGGTATAGGGCAACTCCTTCTGAACCATAAATAATAGCTAACAAACTGGTCAGATTAGGAAAACAAAACCCAAAAAACAAAAAAACTGAGCTAATATTACATTAAAGTGGTAAGAATATGGAATTTCTATATACCTTTTTATTTTTAAAAATACTCCACCAAATTTATATTTTTTTATTATATGAGCAATTTGCAATTTGGAGAATGAGCCATACCACATTTGGGACTGTGAAGCATATTCCTCATAGAAATACTGAATAGTATTTCCCTGCCTTCATGGATAACAATGGGATTAAATGTGTGGAAGATATGAAATAAACAGGCTTTTCTTTCTAAAGAACAAGAATCATTAAGAATGATTATCATTAATGAAAATAATTAAGAATATAATTAAGAAATGTTAGATGAACAGAAAAATTGAACTCTTTCAAAATTTATTCAAATTTTTGCCAGCAAAAGAGTTAGAAATGATAAATTTTGTTTCAGTGAAATTTTTTATTTAAAATGTGGTAACACTGCACTGGGCTTCATTTAAATGAGTATCTTTAAGACACCGTTATATACCATTGCTACATTTGGCTGAATTTTGTTGAATATCACATTATAATTTAATAATAAAAAAGTCTGCTTTTTAAGATTGATTCATAGGTTTCTTAAATCAATAAGGACACATTAAAAAATTATCAACAAAAAGAAGCTGAATCTGTAATATCCTTCAAGATTATGCTAGCTATCCAGGGCTATTTAGAATACTCAGATACGCAATCATTTAAGGGCACAATATATAATGTAATAGTCACAAAAATATTTTGTAAACCAATTGAAGACCATGGGTTTTAACTTCTTGGCAGCATATAGTTGACTTGTTCTATCTAAATAAAGACATTGTTGTTCAATCCCAGTGATTAGAGATGGGTCATTGACTAGGGAAAACTATTTGCATACTGAGTACAGGATAGAGAAAAGTAGCAAAGGAGAAAATAATTCTGCTGTAAGTCAGGATTGAGTCTGGAACGTATGAAGCTGTGGCAGAGTAGGTTTTACAATCCAATTCTAGTTTCCACCTTCCTATCAAGGCTTTGTGGCATTTGATTTCTTAAGGTTAACGTAGCTACTATCTGTGCAGGATGCAGGTCGATAATGCAGGTCCCCCTTATTTAAAGTTGCCAGAACATCCAGAGACACCACAGAGCCAATTTCATAGCCAGAACTACAATTTGCAGCTTACATTTTGAAAAAGGGTAAATTTCAATCTCATGTGATGTGTTCTTTTGTTTCTTTTTCTGTCTTTCTTTTTTTTTTTTTTTTTGAATGGAGAAGAAAAGCTGGCCTACTGCCATTCCTGCATTTAAGGGAAAGTATCCATCAGAGCGGTTTGGGCTATAAAATTCTTAATGGCAATAAAGACTACAGCTTGGATGGTGTTAGCTGCTTGGAAAGCAACCAATCTCTGAAACAAAATGAGAGGTGTGATAAAAAATAAGGAAGAAAAAATTAAAACATAGAGCTGTTTTCCAAGGTAATATTTATATAATATACTCCTCAGTGAAGACAGTGTGCATTAAAATGATAGGGCATTAGCAAACATTGCCAAAAAATATCTAAGACTGATGACCATTTCCATCAAAGAAGCAAAATCTAAGTAATCAAGAAGAATACACAAAAGTGTAATGTGATGTTTTGAAACTAAAGAATGTCCTTTTAGTTTAGGATAATTATGTTATTAATTGGTTTTTAAGAATTATATTAGGAATAGAAAGTATAATCTAGTCAAGCTATTAACTGCTAATGAAATAGATATACATTTCAGATATAGATTTCTGAAATATGAATATCAAAAGCTGATATTAATGTAATTTTAAATACCATGCTTATGAAGCTGTATCACATAAAACTATTTTATCCTAATAGATGAGGTAAACTCAACCTTTTAATTGATTAACTACTTGTCAGGGAGCAGTATTGCCATAGTGTGTCACTTATGGACTTTCAATTATTTTCACTTTTTAATCTTAAACTTACTTAGATGTTGAGCCCATGATTGGAAAGAAAAGCATCCACCTTCAATATATCACTAAATTAGGAAAAATTTTATATTTGCCTACTAAACCGGCCAACTTCTCTTTCCTTCAATAAAATGTAGACTCTGCCCTTCACTAGACCTATGTTCAGTCCTGAAATTTATGTCGAATATAAAATCTTAGTAACTCTTAAATGAACTTTTATAAAAGGAAATATCTCCCATCCTGCTTGAAAGGCTAGCTATGCAGAGGGTGAGTCACCGCCACTTACTTCTTCCTTAATATTCAGTATCATCTGACATTTAACACATTCCCAGAATGTAAATTCAGATACTCACCAGTGGGCCCAGAGCACAACCTTTGGCCGTGCATGCTTGGACTCTGAAGGAATGTAAGCTCCAAGGAGCAAATCCATAAGCTTGACAGCTGATTTCTGAGGAATTGTGGATTAATACACCATCCAGATATAATCCATAACTCGTGATAACACCTGGGAAGATAATAATTGCCTTTTAGTATGACTACTAGAAAATAGCAAAAAAGGTCTAAAGAAAGCAAGCACTTCTTGATGTGATTTCTAGTTTCATGGAATCATTAAATCACAGACTCTGGTATTTCTCCATGTCTAAACTCTGTCTCTTACCAAAGGATAAAATAGATGTTACCCTTGAATATCAAATTGTAAAGCTAATTAATACAGAGACAGAAAAAGAACCCAACAGTTTCAGCATGAGAATCTTTCTACTGCATCATGTTAACTGTTGTCATGTGTGTTCCAGATCAAAAATTAATAACTGGAGCATACTTATAATTTGTATTGCTTTCTAAAACAGATATTCTTAATAAATATGGTCCAGAAGTAAAGTGACCTTATTAGTTAATGCATTCTATATGACTCATAATGTATCAGGCACTGCTCTAAGCACCTGGCATGCATTGGCTCCTTGTTAGCCCTCTCTTCATAACATTCCTATAACAGGCAAAGAGAAAAGATATCATATTAGAGGATAAACTGGCTTCCTGCTGCACATTATTAGTCAGGACATCCCAAAGGGCATCTCTTTATATCACCAATCATATAAGCATCGAAAATCTGCAGCAACCCATTCAAGATAGAACATGAAGGACACAGATCCTCCTTAGAAATGAAAATCTGGGTGGCCTCACTAGGTAAAAAATTCCAAACAAGCCGGGTGTGATGACTCATACCTGCAATCCCAGCACTTTGGGAGGCTAAAGCAGAAGGATCACTTGAGCCCAAAAGTTCTGTGCAATGTAGTGAGATTATCACTACAAAAAATAAAAATAAAAGAATTCCAAACAGATGAACTAACTACTAGCTGAGGGCAAAGAGAGGAAATTGCATATATCAACTATGGCCTCACAACTAGTTACAGAAACAAGAATTATAAATGCTATCATGTTTTATTTCTGTTTATTATACAGAGATTTGTATATTGTAACAAATTTTCCTTCCTTCCTCATTGATTCATGTAAATGACATTAGCGGGCATTAATTTACAGTTTACTTTTTTTTTAGTTGAAGAATATCCAGGTGGATTGTGTCTGAACTAAAAGGGGGAATTAACATCACTCAGATAAGAATATGATGATGGAGGTGAGAGCACCATCATTTGTACAAAGCAAAGTAGTATCATGTTAGATGGAAGCATAGCATGATTGTTATTGGTAATGAAAGGTGGTGGAAAGTACAGGGGTGTGCATGAATGCCAGGTAGCTAAGAAAGTGATTCATCTGATATCCGCCAGAGCCACACATCCATGCATCTATAGCCTGTTCTGTACGGCTGAACCTACAAACTACAAACTACATTTCCATCTTGCTTGTTGGCTTTCTGTTAGGTTTTGCCACAGGGAGGCACTGCGAGGAGGACAGAAGCAGGAAGAAAGAGAAAACGTCCAGCTTCTAGCTCCAAGAGCTGAGACCTTTGCTGACAGCTGCTGTGTCAGCAGGAGACAAAGCCTCTGCAGCCTCAAGCATTCCAGACAGAAGCATCATCTCTTCTGCATTTTCTGCCTCTTCAGTAGTGGAATGTTGTTGGCATTGCAGCTCTGGTTGGGGCAGTGTCCCCTAACAGTTCAGATGTCAAATCGGCAAGTGCAGCAGTAAGCAGCAGCTCCTCGTCAACCATCCTTTTTCCTTCCAGTACACCTTTCTCTTTTGTTCTTCCAGCCCTTCTTTACAACACCTTGAGAACAACCTCCTTGTATCAAATACCCTCTGCCTTAAATATCTGAAGTGTTTTCTCTTTTACCAGTCAGATCTTGGTCAATACATTCTTTTAGGATTAACTCTCTTTTATTTAAATGAGTGAATACTTTTAAAAAGCTACTGCTGTGACTTGTTTTCCTTTAAGAAGATAACCCTGTATAGTTTATCATTCTGAGAAGTCCATTTCCCTTGTTTCCAAATTTTTGGGAAAGAGTCTTTATTTTACTATCATGTGCCACTTGTAGCTCCACAAAAAACAAACAAACAAACAAATAAAAAACATGTGGCTGCCGAGGTCTGTTTTCCTTTATTTCTGGTGTGACAATTTATGATAACTTTATGAATACCTAAAGCATTTGATTTAATTCCATTTAATACTTGACACACAAAGACACAAATGAATTAAAGCTAAGAAGTGAAAGACACATAGTGAAAAAACACCTACCTATAATACATAGAAAATTTAAAGGGAAAAAAGATATAATCAAGTAATAATAATAAAAAATTCTTATGTGCCAGGTTCTCTGTGAAGTAATCAGTTAATCCTCTCAAAAAAAAAAAAAAAAACTTTTGTACAAAAAGTGTGTTGCAGAAGCTCTTAAAGAAACCATAAGACCCTTGAAATGCTATCTACTTGACCTGCTTTTCAACTGAGATAGAAAGTACCCAAATCAATAGTTCCCTTTTCTTACATAATTGAGGAACAGAGAATGCCTTTTATGTTAGGATTATGTGTATAATATCTCATTTATCTGACATATTGGGAAATGAGATATTTTTAAAAAGTTAATTTTCATTATAACTAAATCTCATCCCCTTAAGTGTGAACTTTAAAAATCTTTACCATTTTTGAAGGAAATCTTTCTAGTAAGTACTACACACTTACCTGTCTTTCCACACAGAATACAATGAATATAACTGAATCATTTTGTGAAGACTCAAACTATGATTATGGACATCAAAGACTGCATTCTCTAATTCTATAATGCTTCAGTGAGATACATTTTTCTATAATGCTTTGATGAGATACAGAGTTCTTAGCCAGCTTTTACCCTAAGTATCACTCACTGATTGCACCTTATCAATTCTTGTGTCATTGTTTGCGTTTTTCTATATCCTCTCTCAGTGCCAGTCTCTCCAAAGTTATTTCTTTTTTTTTTTTTTTTTTTTTTTTGGTCTGTCTGACTCTAGCAAGTCAAGTCAACCCTTAGCAATCTATGTTGAAAAGCTAGATAACCTTGACATCTGGAACTATGGATATAGAAAGAGCCGACAGTTATTGAAAGAAGGGCTTAGACTAAGATGAACACATGGCAAATGAGCTAAGAATAAAATAAAGTGACATTTGTGATAGTTAATTCAACCGCTCAGAAACTTTTTAGTATCTAGGATGTATCTAATTGAGAGGTGGATGAGAATGAAGTCCAGCTTTAGCATAGGTTATATCACACCCACCCCCCCTCACCCGCTGCCACGCACAGTTACCCAGAATCCTGTAGGTAAACAGTATTTGACACCATATGAAGGAACGGCTGGAGGATCAATTGTAGAACCACAATGTAGGACTAGTATTATACTGATACATACATACAGACACAAATCATGTGAAGCTGATTTCAGTATAAACAAAATCAACATAATATAAAACACTGTACGATTTAGTTTTAAAACATACTTTTAGTAAGTAGTAAGTCTAAACCACCTATTAACATGACAACTTTAACTTCATTAACCTAAACACAGTAACAAAAACTAATGAATATAATGTAATGGATATTTTAAACTGAAGCCTAAGAAGATGCTTTTTTCTTTAACTAGAATGCAAGACATGTATCAATAGCTTTGTTTTTCAACTTTTATTTTAGATTCAGGGGGTACATGTGCAGGTTTCTTACATGAATGTATTGCATGATGCTGAGGTTTGGGATACGAATGATCCCATCACCCAGATAGTGAGCATAGTACCCAACAGTTAGTTTTTCAGCCCGCAGTTCCCTTCCCCTGCCATTAATCCCAGGGTCTATTGTTGCATCTGTATGTCCATGAGTACCCAATGTCTAGTTCCCGCTTATAAATGAAAATATGCAGTATTTGGTACTTGCATTAATTTACTTACAATAAAAGCCTGCAGCTTCATAGATGTTGCTGCAAAGGACATGACTTCAGGGTTTTTTCTTGACTGTGTAGTATTTTATAGTGTATATGTATCACATTTTTAAAATTCAACCCACTGTTGATGGGCACCTAGGTTGATTCCATGTCTTTGCTGCTGTGAATAGTACTGTGATCAACATGCAAGTACATGTTTCTCCTGGTAGAATTATTTGTTTTCCTTGGAGTATATGTCCAGTAATGGGACTGCTGGGTCAAATGGTGGTTCTGTTTAAAGTTCTTTGAAAAATCTCCAACTGCTTTCCACAGTGGCTGAATTAATTTACATTCCCACCAACAGTATATAAGACTTCAACCCTTTCTCTGCAGCCTCGCCAGCCAGCATCTGCTGTTTTTTGAATTTTTAATAATAGCATTCTGACTGCTGTGAGATGGTACTCGTTGTGGTTTTGATATGCAACTCTCTGATGATTAGCGATGTTAAGCTTTTTTTTTTTTTTCATGTTTGTTAGCTGTTTGTCTTCTTCTTTTGAGAAATGTCTGCTCATGTCTTTTACACACTTTTTAATGGGGTTGTTTTTTTACCTGTTAAGTTTCTTATAGATTATGGATATTTGCCCTTTGTCAAATAGATGGTTTGTGAATATTTTTTCCCATTCTGTAGGTTGTGTGTTTACTCTGTTGATAGTTTGTTTTGCTGTACTGAAGCTCTTTAGTTTAATTAGGTTCCACCTGTCAATTTTCGTTTTTGTTGCAATTGCTTTTGAAGACTTGGTCATAAGTTCTTTCCCAAGGCCAACAACCAGAATGGTGTTTCGTAGGTTTTCCTCTAGGATTCTTAAAATATGAGATCTTACATTTAAATCTTTAACCCATCTTGAGTTAATTTTTGTGTATGGTGAAAAGTAGGGATCCAATTTCTTCTGCATCAGGCTAGCCAGCTATCCTAGCACTATTTTAAAAATAGGAAGTCTGGCCGGGCGCGGTAGCTCATGCCGGTAATCCCAGCACTTCGGGAGGCCAAGGCAGGTGGATCATGAGGTCAAGAGATCGAGACCATCCTGGCCAACATGGTGAAATCCTGTCTCTACTTAAAAAAAAAAAAAAAAAAATTAGCTGGTCATGGTAGCGTGCCTGTAGTGCCAG